GTCGATAAGTGGCATTGTGTTGTTAAACAGTGGATAAGTGACATTAATTAGAAATTAGCAGTTAAATTAAATTAAATTATTGTACAATTATTATACAAAGGAGTTCTTAAGTCTATAAAACAAAAAAATATATAAAAGTATATATAAACTGGGCACAATAACAATATTTTTTATTAGTTTTCCTGATATTTTTGGGAATTTCTACAATACTGTCTGCAATATGTATTTGTTTGTGTTTTTAAAACAATCAAAATTACTGTAATTATTTGCTTCTTTTTTTTGTTAAATTCAGTGTTTTCTTCTCATTGTTCTGTTTATCAAAAAGTATATATAGCTTGTGTTCAGATCTCTCCAGAAAGAAAGTTTACATCTTAAATAAATGTCTAAACTTTAAAAATAATAATTCCATTTAGTTTTATACACAGCACTGAATGAAATGCCAAACTATTGGCCCACTTTTTTGTTTGTAAAAAAGTTTTCTTACACTCCTTGAATTAAAGAAGGTCATTGTTTAATTTTGGGCAATCCCACTGATTTATGGCAAAACACTGTTACAACCATTAAAGGTGCATAAGGTAAAGGGATGTCTACTTATCTTAGTTTGGATGAGAACATATTAGCCAACTTATTCTTGTTTATTTGTTCATTTTCTCATTTTAAAGACTTTTAACGATTTGTAGAGTTGAAAAAGTGTTTTCACATGTATTAAACAAGAAAAAACAATCATAAGAGAACAATTTAATTGTTTAACACTGCAGTAGGTAATGTTTGTTGTCATATTTGCTGAAACTTATAAACTCTATATTCTGACGGTAGTACCTGAGACAGGTGAGCTGTGAAAAAATCAGGTTCCTCTGGTTGGTTGTAGGGCTCATAATAGCATTTCCACCAGGTCTGGATTAAAAAACAACTAACTGGAACCAAGAAAGATAGTTGATTGTTGAGGCTCATCCAGCAGGGTGTAAAATACAGACACTTTGGGACCCTGAGCCTTCAACCCTTTCTCTCCTCTGATTGGTTGCTCTTGTCCAGGCCCGGGGGATCGTTGTCGTAAGCCAGTAACCCGAGGAACCTGATTTTATTTCACAGATGATCTGTCTCATGTACTTGTAAAAATTAGCTGCAGCTTTAATCACTGTAATCATAAATCCTCTTAGATTTATCAATGAACGCCTACAGGTTCAATCACTCAGGTTGGGAACAATCGGTTTATAAGAGTTAACTTAATGGACATAAATTAAACATAGACTAAACATTTAAAACTCAAACTTGCATTTTTAAATCGCAGATAAATGTTTTTTCTCTCTCTCACTGACACACACTAGGTGGAGGATGGCTTCTCTTTCTCTGCTGATATTCTGGAAAAGGTAACCACATGTTTTAATAATGAATTTCATCTGTGGCATGGCATGTAGTTTATTGTTGTTGTTCTGTTTGGGCTAATGTGTTGCTTTAGGTGCACGTAGTGATTGACCAATATGGGTATCAACTTTTTCCTTATGGATTTAGTTTGATTTATACACCTTTGCTCTGCCTTATTGCCTTTTATTTGTTCAATATCAGAGTACAAGGAGAAAGCGATCTTCTGGCAAACCTCCTCCCTCTCCAAGTAAGACTTTTGCAGATACTGTAACAAATCCACTTTCCGAATTCCACGATTGCTTATATGCAGTGTGTATATTTGTAGGGTCTCCATACCTCTCCAGTATGAATGTGAACCCCAGAAGAGTAGCAGTGGCAGCCTGGAGACTTCCAAGGGCCTCCCTGGGGGACACCAGAGGGGACACACCTGGGGAGAGTGGTTCAGCTCGCCTCACATCCCTCAGCAACGGCCATGGTAGGCACCGTACAAACATACAGCTGGAGCTCTCCTCGGGAGGGATGGCGGGATGCAGAGGAGATAAATAGAGCGTGAACAGACTTTGTAGGTGTCCCGCTCAGCACTGCTGACTTTGGGAAACTGATGTTAAGCAGCTCTGCAAGTGTTACAACAATATTACATTTGGCTTTGTCTTTCTGGGAATTCAGTAAAAGAAAATCAGTTCTCTACCTTAAAGGTACAACAACCTTGTACATATTTGGGTTTTACAAAGTTTTTTACACATTACATTGTTATAACATGTTAGCAAATACACTTAGTCGCCAGTTTATTTAGTACACAGAGATACAACTAAGCAGTCTAATACAACAGTTCTGCATTAAATTCTACCTTTATGAAGGTTGTTATGTTAATGTTTTGTTGAAACTGTTTTAGAGAGTTGATGGTGTATGGTCACTATATATCATTGCATTATACTGACAGGTGGCACTCATTGATATAAACGGGCTGGATAAAATAATAGAATCACTACAGTGTGTTTATTATCGTTCATTACCTGCCTGCTTCTGGAAATGAATCATTGATAGTGGAATTTGCTGGCTGCTCAGAGTCAAGAGCTGAAAATATGCTAAAAACTCCGTAGAGTTGTAGATGATCTATGGCTTCGTTACTTCATCATCTCTGTACTCCACTATTGCATTATGCATTCTTGTTATTTGATCCCTTGTTATACAAAAAATTGGATTGGGGGAGCCTGAGGGAGCGTTTTCTCAAAGGGTGTTAAATTCACAAGTCAGATGGAGTATTGATTTTTTGTTGGGAAATATGTTGAACCTCTCTCTGTCTGCTTCTTCTTCAGATGCATCCCAGACGCTGAGATCAGAGTACGATGTCACACCAGAGCTTCTTAAACAGACCTTGAGCATGAAGAAACACAAACATCTCAACTCTGGATCCAATGGTGAGAGAATGTATAGGTGTGTCAGAAAGTGGAGACGAGCGGAACGAGTGAGAATGTGAGTGACTGTTTGTATGATTATGTACCATCTCCCTTCTTGTCCCTGTGTGTTTCAGGGTTCACCTTCAGCACAGGTGACTACAAAGGAAAGGAGGACATGTATGATGAGATCATTCGCCTCAAGAAGGTAAAAGAATTAATATTGTGTTCAGCTTGCTCATGGATTTATGTTAATGCATTCAGGAAAAAAACCCACTGATGGATCACATTGTGCATCAGGGTAGTGCTGTCAGTCGTAGTGAGGTGGGAGATTTTTCTTCTGCGGAAGCAGTGTAACAACATGACGTGTGCATCTCAGGTCTGCTTAAATGGCCTTGAACAATGCATTGAATGTCTACCAGCTCCAGTGTGCTGTTCTGTCGCTGACTCAGATTTTTTTTTGTCTGCAGAAGGCAAAAGTAGGGTTTAGACATTTTTTTCCCCCCTACACAGATTGATGCTTTTTTTAGATTTGGCACCTCAGGATGTCCATATGCTCTCTGTATGTTGAACTTTCTTCATCTGTGATTAATCACTGGTGCTGTGCTGTGCAGAGTCTCCAGGCGCAGAAGTCTGACAACCAGCAAATGAGAGCCAAACTACGCCGCCTGGAGGAAGATAACGCTAAAAGAGAGAAACAGATAGAAGAACTGTTGGATCCCACTAAAGTATGATCACTTAATTGCTTCAATTTTTGTGTTAAGAACTTTGAACAATAGACACATTTTAAAACCCCTTTCCCCCCCTAAAGGGATCTGAATATACTCGTAGTTTGGTGGATAAGAAAAAAGAAGGGAGTGTGGTGAGTATATTCAGTCTGTTGATGAACATACCAGAGATTATTTTTAGGTTTGATCTTACACAGATTTTGTAAAATTGATTCTTTCCGTCAAGGTTCTCAATGGGTTGAAACAAAGAATCCTGAAGCTGGAGCAGCAGTGTAGAGAGAAAGAAAATGCCTTAAGGTAAAGCACTCTCCCACCTTTTAATAAGCCCATTTGCATTCTGTGTGAAGCAGCATAATCTTCAGGTGATTCTCTCTTTTCTTCCAGTAAACTACAAAGTGAGCTGAGAACCACCAACCTGGAGGAGCTGAAGATCACAGTAGAAACCTACTTTGAAGAGGTAAAATATATGCCTCCAGATACAAAATGTCTGCTTTTCCACCTGAATGTTACAGTCAAACATGTTACCAGATACAGATTTTATACGGATACAGGAGAACACCTGAACCAACCACCTAAGGAATGAGAGAAAAAAACGTACACTTGCAGTTATACAGGGACTTGTAGTAGTTGAAAGTGGAAGTGACCATCCTATAAGCAGACAATACCAGCATTTGCGTTTGAGACCCCTGTTGTTATAAAAGATGTTTTCATCATCTTTACTTAGTTGCAGATAACAATCTCAGCTGTGGAAAAGGAACTCAACTTGAAAAGTGTATGTTTGTGTACCTCTTCTTTCAGATCCAGAGGCTGAGGATGCTTCTAGAAGCTGCAGAGAAAAGGTATGCATCTGCTGCTACTGCTTTCAGCCCGATACAGCGAGCTGGAATAAACCTGTGTTTGTGTCGGGTCATCAGATGTGGGTCCAGTCCGATGCTTAGGTATAAATGTGATCATGGGCTTCTATCTTATACTGGTAATAGCTTTTTATTTATTCTGGAGTTTCTATTGAATTATTATAGCATTACTGTATCCCTTTAGTTGATTTTGGCTGTAACTTCATGTCCTCCACTGTTCTTTATCTCATGAGTACTTGAGTAGGTTGTTGGGTGACTCATGGCCTTTTGATGAGGCTACCAAATCAGCAAAGAAATCCTGTAAATATATCGTCCTTTGCTTGCAATGTAACATTGGAATTATTAGTGTAATGTTGCAGATTTCACTTTTACAGAACTGAAATTGGACAATGGTGTTTAACAAATATAGGTTTATTGATCAGGCACAAAATATCAAATCAGTCACTTTCCTTCTCCTTCACCTACATTTAAGGAGGAGTGGATTAAAGGAGTCCAATCTGAAACTAGCTGTTAGAGACTTGGATGTCCTTGATGCCCACAGAGATCATTTAAAGGTTGCAGGATTTGTGGTGAATGTTCAAAAATACTCTCATCCCTGCATTTATTATCTCTATCTTTCTCCCTGTACAGTAGCCGAGCAGAGAGTAAATGCTCCCAGAGACAGCAGAAAGCTTTAAGCTCCGCGGTTCATCGTCTTTCTGAGAACCTGAAGCAGGTCCAACAGGAGAATACAGCGCTCAGAGAGGAGCTCAACACTGACAGTCCTGCAGGAGGAATCAAAGGTCTTTTCTCACAGAACAAACCCATGCTGACACCCTTTTCCCAGTACTTCCAAAACAGATTAAAAGACATTTACCTTATTTATTCCAGATTATCAATTTCTAGTGTAATTGCTGTACCTCTTCTAAATGTGATGTGACTTTTTACTCAGGCCACTCCAGCTTTGTTGGTTTACTTTCTACCTTGTTCTGCTGTGCATTAGAGTTGGAGGTGTAGTGTGTAAGGTCAGGAGAACAGTGTCGAAGCTTAATGTATGAAAAAAGCTGGAGTCGAGGCATGAATCTTTGAAAAGTGTATTCCATACAGCAGAAGGTATAAATGATCAGGGAAATGTATGTATGTGTCATCTTACTTAGAGAAATATACTCACATTTATTGGTTGAATTAGTGGATAGTTGATTTGTTACATTTAACACATAACAATCTTGGTATAAACAGTATTAACTATTGCACATTTGTTGTATTAATGTGTATGCAGTTCCTTGTGTTTACCACATATATACTCTAAATGTTCCGTTTTTTGATGGGAATGGATGAGTGCTATATAAAGAGCACTGCAAACTGAAATAAGAAAATAACATAAATGATAAATAAATGTGTGAAATCAATTACAGAAATGAATGAAACATAATGACTACTCATTCATCATTAGCAAAGTCCTATAACAGTTGTTTAATTAATCCAATTTTGTATAGTTAACATGGTTGTAAAGATTTATCATCTAAAGTTGCATTAATTCCAAACCCTGCAGTAAAGGATTGAACACCATTGTGTTATTGTATTCTCTCTCCAAGGTTACAGAGAGTGGAGTAAACAGAGACTGTTGAGAAGGCTGTTGGAGGTGGAGAAGGTGAGAGAAAACTGTAACTAGTTGCCCATGTAAACACATGCAGTCATCTGTGTCGGATTGTGTTACACAGATAGCAGCTTCATCACAGACCAACTCCTCTCTCCTCCTATCAGAGGCTGGAGGGCAGCAGAAAACACGCCCAGTCAGCAAAGAGCGGCGGACGGTTGGATCGGGAGGTCCAGGCCACTCCCACTGAGATTCTGGGCTTTACCATGGCAACAGAGGCAGTGGTCTCTGTGGGAACAGTCACTGAGGAAGGGGAGGAGGTTTCTGATCTGAGAGAACGCCTCAGCCAATTGGAGAAGGAGAGGGTGGAGCTTGAAGAGAGACTGTCAAGTAAAGAGTGAGTGAGCAGCAACCTGAGGCCACTCGGTTCACACACAGCCTTTATATATGATACGCAGTGTATCCATCTTTTTAAGCTGCAATAAATGTTCATTATCTAAATTCATGACATACACCAGAGGAAAACAATTTAATGTTGGTTTACCAGACTGTAAGTGGAGCTGCACCTTATTATTACATCAGTGACCATTGCTATGGGCATAAAGCCATTGCATTTTGTACTTGAGACTGAATCTGTGTTGTGTTTGTGTTTTCAGTGATGAGTTGAGACAGTTGAGGACAGAAAGAGAAGAACTGGAGAAAGAGACAGAACGGTGGAGAACTGAGCAGACAACAGAATGGGAAAAGGAGAGAGAGCAGCACAAGTATGTTTTAGTTGTGATGTGCCACTGAAATGATTCAACCTGTCATATATCTATCAACACATGTCTACTATTTGTGAGCTTGAGATTTATAAGATTTTAAAAGTTCTGCTTGTTTTTACCAAAATGCATCCATATACATGTACATATTCTTTGAATGTATGGTGTCACTTAAAAGGACTGTTACCGACTGCTGTTGGATTTACATCTCAAACAGTCATTTTCTACTACTTGTTCCACATGCACAGATTACAGTTGATGCCTGTCATACAGATGCTTTGTAGTTGCATCAAAAATGTCTCAGCAATTCTCAAAGAAACTGATATTAATTAATATCTAATATCCAAGATGTTAATTTTGTGATGTTAACTGTTGCTGCAAATCAAATATGATGTAAGTGTGACAAATTAGCTCCCTCTCAGAAAATTAAATGTATATTCAGCTCAAAACCAAAGTCATTGGTTTGGCAAGCCACAGATAACAATTGTTATTGTTAACTCCACTACCTCCGACTCAACTATGGCTGTCGACTTTTTGCATTGTTTATGTATTATTCAGGCAAGTGAGTTTGTGCTTCTTAGACAGGAGTTGGACCAGTTGTGGGTGAGGATCCAAACTCTGGAAGATGGAAGTAAACCGGCACAAGCTGAGCTCTGCTCTCTCTCTGGAACATCACCAGAGGACAAGGACAGTCAGACTGGAGCAGGTCTAGAAGAGGGAGGAGAGAGGGACGCTGGAGGTAAAGAACAGGAGGGGGAAGGAGATGAAGAGTTGGGTACAGATGCTGAGCAGAAGGAAAAAGAGAAAGCAGCATTGGTCATCCAGACAAACTGGAGGGAGCACAGAAATAGGGTATGTAACACACTGCAATTATGTAAAAGAAGCTATTTATGTGTGAGGAAAAATATTATATAACATGTCCAGACACTTTGTCTCAGGTTTCCTCTTTCTGTCTCCATCTCTCTGCATTCTATCTTAAGGACATTGTGATGTTGCAGTCAGCATTGAGGGGCCACCTCCTCAGAGAATCACAGCTCAAGGACCTGCTGAAAGACACACAAAATAAGGTTACATACACACACACACACACGTCTCATCTTCATCTGTAAAGCACCAAAAAAACATAGCAGAATCCCCATATTCAAGTGATTTTTGCATCGATTGACTTCTTAGTATCAATTATCATATAACTATTGGCACATGTTAAATAGAGAAAAAAATTATTAATATATATTCTTAAATAATTCTTAAGACCAGTTTGTAATTCTGGGTTCACAGTATTACACAACAGTTTGCACTTACAGTCCACCAAGTAGTCAAGTCAATTTTATTTGTACACTATCACAAGTCATACATTGTCTCAAAAGGGGTTTTGCAATCTTGTACAGCAATGACACCCTCTATCCTTAGACACTGTTTGAATAAGGAAAAACTACCCCCAAAACCCCTTTAACTTGGGAAAGACGGTGGATGAAACGGTGGTAGAGCCACAGAGGAGGGGTCCCTCTTCTAGGACGGACAGAGACTGTGATGTTGAGGGTACAGAATATACCAAGATAGTAAATTTACAGTATGTATAATCAGGATAAAAATATAGATTGATTGTAAACGTGTAGAAAATATACATGGGAAGCAGCGTCATGGCGTTTGAAAGATTGTGGCACTAAAATCTCAAGAAATTTCTCAAGAACAGAGTAAAAGAATGGTGAAAAATGAAATTCAATTGTACATGTTACATTTATGGCCCGGAACATACTGCTAGAATCATTATTAGGATGGACTCCATGCTGAAATACACAAGATGGACTAAAAAGCATTTTCCTAATCTCCATCTGTCTCATCTCATACATGTTTTCCTGCCTCGTCCCTTATACGTCTTTTTTGCTTGGTCGTTTCCCCTTTCTCCTCTTTTCAGGCTGTAGAAGCAACAACCCGCAGTGATGTTGCGTCCTCCGTAGACGGGGAGGTGGATATGGTTGCCTTGACGATGATACAGTCTGCATTCAGGGGACACTTGGCTCGCTGTAGTCTTGCAATAGAGAGGTGACTCATGTTTACACAGAAAAATGTTATAAGACCAGATTCAGTCAAACATACAGTGCATTTTGCTACATTGTGTGTGTGTGTGT